GTCAAAGTAAGAGGCAAGGCTGGACAAACTTTACTGTTGTGTCACGCCCTCTCATTCAAATCGAATGCCACGCACGACAAGCGCCTTTATGCTGGCCTTGAGGGCTTGGCTACATCAGTAAAACAACCAATTTCTCGATGATTCTTAATCTCGGAAAAAATTTCACCGATGATCTTGTCAGCAGGTGATAACTAACGGCGTTGCTATTTCTGAAGGCATCTGCCTGAAAGAAGTCTTGATTTTTAGTTTGACTAATGCACTGTTAAGTGAACAAGGGAAAACTCGTCAATGAACAACTGTGAATATCCTGTAGAGGAAGTACAGCAGACAGTAGTCACAAAGACTTAAAATCAGCACATATATGTTTAACTCGTTTTTAAAATCTTTTCCTTCTGCTTGGCAAGAAAACGAAATTTATCCTTTAAACTGAGATGTTAAAAATTTCCAACTCCAAGAGTGGCACACATCATTTTTGCGATTTCGCATCCACTCCAGGTGTTTATGCTCGAGCAATCAAGCGCTTCCGTCAACTCCTCTTGAAAAGATTCGATGTTACGGGTTGCCGTGCAATGCATTTTTAGTGCTTAATCTTCTGAAATCCTCCTTTTTAACAGGGAAAAACACTGAAGGAGGAAGGATGGAAAGCAGGTAGAACTGAGGAGTGGACAGCAGCAGAGAAATGAGCTCAGAGCCGGCGTCGGCTTTCCGATCTCCCGTCATTACATCATCGACGTCCGCCAAACCGGCTCATCCGATCATCGCTCATCCTAAACCTATCAAGTAAGTGCATCACCGGCTGTGTAATTTTCCCACACTTTTCAATACAGAAGAGGGTTTTCATTTCTGAAGCGCAGAGTGAATGGAAGTATTCTGGTAACTAGGCAAAACTCACGTAAAGAATTCGTTTTTTCCGTTTTGTTGCTCTCTGACTTCTGGCCATCAATGCAGCTGAGTGATTTCTTCACGTTCACTACTTTGACCTTTAATTAGGTTTCGGATTACACTTGCGCCGCGATTTAGAGCATTTCAAAGACATTTGTAGCATATCAGCTATTTCGCTTACTGGAGAAGCTGCAAGGTCAAAACTTTGTAGGGATATTCTAGTTCTATGTATGACCTAAATACAGTTCGTAGGTTAAATTTCCTACACAAAGGTGCGAGAAATATTTAATTTTATCGCAATCTCAAAAGCCAGTGCGTTTACGAAATTTTTTTATTCCGGTATCTTGCGCGTTATTAAAACTGCGTTTTTCAATGGAACAACCCTTTCGGAAAAACAACCGGCCTTCATGCAAAATTTATAATAATGCGTGCTAGAAGTCCGCGCGGCTCCATGATGCAACACTATCGTCATAACCGACGTCCTTTTCTCCCCACATGCATGAAAAGGCCAAAACATAACCAACATGTGCTCACGTGTTAAACTGTAATGCAGAAAGTATTCATACTATTAACGACCAGACTCCTGCATGTTCAGCGCAAAAACGTATGACTGTACCGGCAAGTCTGGTGCGTTACAGCTTTGGCTGCTAAGTTGAAAAAAGGTGAAAAAATCCGGACATACAGACACACACACAGAGGCAACCAGATCTCAATGTGTTTTTTTGCATTTCATCAGTGATACAAAAATGCATGAAAAGAAATGCGAAACAAATGTAGAAACCACTCATTTTTTTCGTCACTAGAGTGAGCAAAGCGTCCCGTACTCAGGAAATCACTTGGTGGTTCCAACTCAGAACACTGTCAGGACGAAGGAACTGTGGGGTGATGAAGTGCAGTACTCGAATTCGTACTGCTGGTGCTTCAGTGATGTTTTAGGCCGTATCCGCATCCGGGAGCGCCAGATTCGTTTGCACTATACAGCTACTATCTCAGCCAAATGGGGCACGGTCTCGATATGCAGCAGTTTGCTCAGATCGCGCAGCCTTCTGCTCTTCCAAGTCCACACTCGTTAGCTACAAGTGCAGTGTTTGCCGCTAACCCCGTCGCTGCTATCACGGCAAATAATCAAACGCAGTGGGATCCAGAAACAACCAGACCAGTTCAAAGGGAACCGTGCAGGTCTGTTGTCGCTTTATTCCTGCAGCCTAGCACTTAAACCTCAGAAGAAATTTACAGACAAAATCATGGTGGATATAAATATCTAAAGAAAGGAAGCTGGTTCATGATGATGAACTGGAACTAGCTCGTGCTCAGCTATGTTGGTACTTGAAGTCAGTCGGTGTCGGGAAAACAGTGCTAGGAAGACATCGTCCCGGCGTGCGTTCCCAGTGCCTTATGCCAGATATTTTTTTATGCGCTTTTGCAGTGAATAAAAATGCATATTGTCGAAGTGCTCGCTATGTGTATGTGTGTGGACGAGTGAACTTGTCATCCATTTTCAACTCATCAACCAGAAAAATTGGAAAGCTGAAATTTTGCGAGAGTGTTCCTAGCATACATCAACTTCAGGTCGTTGCTCATGTACATCTGGATCTTATGTAAAGACACCAAGGAATATAAATTTTGCGGCGATCAAATGATTCTGAAAATCTGACAGGCTAAATTTCACCGACCTTCTTTCCGTGTGTGAACTAAAGATTTCACATTCAACTACTGCGCACTCCTACACCGCATGTGCAGTCGCGTTCATCGTTAGTATCATGTCAACTCAAAAACTAGTCAAAATCCAAGTTGTAATTTTGTTGGAATTTTTATCGCTCATCTTGGAAAATACCTAAAACGAGTTTCGATTTGCGCTTACGCCACGACTTAGAGAATTTCGAAAACATTTATAGCGCAGTGGCTATTTCGCTTACCGGCCAAATTGCGAGGCTGAAACTTTGCACGGACATTTGCACGTGTAGTCTAAATGCAGCTTGTCCTTAATTGCGCAAGCTTATGAGAAATACTCAATTTTATCGCAAACTCTCCGCACCAAACACACTTATTCCGTGCTGCGAACAGCGCACTGGACCCAGTTACGCCAGGGTGTTTCGCGAAAAATCGGTGCTGGCCTCGATAACGTGGCCAGAATTCGCAGAGCAGCATGCTCATTTTGTTCAAACTGAAAAATTGCCTACTGTGGCGCCGCGATCACTTAATAATAAAACAGAGAGTGTTAATTTGAACGCACTAATCCGACATATCGATGTTGTATTTGTTCTTATGCCAGGGAGATCTCAAAATAATAGCGAAATTGGCACTGGTTGCTTCGTTGCTCATCTGCTTCCCAAAGTCGAACGGTGATAGGCACGATTGCTAACAGGCGAATCACCCGGAAAACCCGAAGATCCGGCTATGCACCTCTTCTTTGAGCACGGCATTGGCCGATCCTTCCAGAAAGTGCGGCAATTTGCTGTTCTTATTCCTAAGTAAAACAGGTGAGACGGGCCGCTAGCTGTAGTGAAAGTGGTTTTAATTCATAATTTAAGCCCTGATTCACCGCAAAGCGCCGACACGTCATGCTCGCGTGCACCGCAGCCCAGCACGTCGCCGAAAGACCGAATAGCGATGGCTACTACTGCACCGATCAGCACCAGCATCAACAGCACAGCGACGACGAGGACGAGTGCGCCAGATCGTGGCTCCAACAAGTTCTCATGGCTGAGCCATTACAACGTCGAGACGAACGCTGCCGTTGCCAGTGCTGCGGCGCCGCTTCCGAGCTCCACGCTTAGCAGTCCATCGTTGACTTCAGGTTAACAACATTTCCCTATTGTTACTGCTAGCGCTCTTTCATGTGAGGAGCAACTCTCGATTTCAGCTAACACCCCGCGAAACAGCAGTAGCGGTCGCCGCAGCGATTTACTGCTTCAAAAGTATTTGTCACAGCAAATCTAAATTTCAAATTTTCCGATTTTTCGTGGGCGTCCTGCGAATTAGACGTGAAGAAGCGGCCAACGTTCAAATTTTTGGAACAAAGAATGTGAAAGTTCTGATTTCACGATAAACTGCAGCCCCCGGGAATTGCTTTTGCTGTAACATGCCAAAAGAATATTTTGACGTGTATGTTGCATTCGCAAGCTGCTTTTGAGAGCAAGTGTCATGAGTTATACCAAGTGCAGGAGTGCTTCTTTGAATTATTTTCTAGTTTTCTGAGTCCTTGTTTAAAATTTCACCTTTCAACGCTATAGAGAGTTTTTGCAATATGCCAAGCAACGAGTACTTAAATTGTTGGTACTTCAGTACACTCCAATGGCTCAGAAGCAACGCACACGTGGAATGGACGAGCGGGTGGACACCGTCCTGGTGAATTTACGTCCGCGTTTATGGTCGATTATCTGGATGATGATCCGCTGTTGTGCGCAATTTGCTCCGACAAATCATCCGGACTACATTACGGCATCTATACGTGCGAAGGGTTATCCTTTTTCACTTTTGGCCGGGATATCCACATGGGGATAATCGCGAAATTGCCGGCGGTGACATTTTCTGAGAGCTATGAAATGTCGTCAGCTGTTTATTAGCGCACAGTGAACTTTGCTCCTGCACATCTTCACCAAAACTACTTCAACGGTGACGCTCCATTATTTGCATCCACTAATTTGGAATTGCCCTGACACATGCGCCCTGAGGCGCAACGTGATTTGCACTCATTGCTAGCCAACTTTCCTGCTACGAATTTGACCGAACTGAAAAGAGCACACTGCATATGAGCGTCAGCTGCGGCAGAATTTCGTCGATGTTTGCCTGAATTTGGTTTTCAAGTTATTTCAATCAGAATTCCATGCTTTTGATACTGGACTCAAATACCACCGCATTATTCGAAACAACTACTTCAAGCAGCTTCCAATTTGAGAGAGTAGCCATCGATGCGGCCCATAGTTCTCAGAGTTCGTCACTGCAATCAAATAACTTCTCTAATCGTTTTGGAAAACCTATCTTCCTACTCTTCGTTTCATACCGCGAACAGACCAGTACAGTTATTTATTAACAACATTGGAAAGATAAGTGCTAATTACAGCAATAGTTATAATGTTGGTAACAGTAATAATACTGGCAGCAATATATTAGTAATGATGATAATAACAATACAACAACAAC